GAAACGAAGCAAATTCTATATCTACATCTGGCGAGCGATATTTTTTTACCTAGGATGGTAGGGGAAGACTCATAAATGGTATTAACCCCAGTGACGGGTAGGTTTAGGGACGGGGTTGGGGTAGGTCATATATTTATATATACAGTAATGTAACGTTAAGTCAACGGCGTTGATAAACACGCTAAAAAGCGATTATGCGTGTTGATAGCACGTCAAAAATGGAAATACGAATTGGCGTGTGATACATACGCTATTTCATGAGATCAGTCTGCTCAGACTGTAAACGAAGCTCGGGCGCACCAGACACACGTCAGCAGCGTCTTACGTCAGCAGCGGCACTGAACGCGGATCCACAACAGAACCAGAATACACACACACACACCAGACACACACACACACCAGACACACGTCAGCAGCGGCACTGAACGCGGATCTACAACAGAACCGGAATACAATACACACACACACACACACACACACACACACACACACACACCAGACACACGTCAGCAGCGTCTTACGTCAGCAGCGGCACTGAACGCGGATCCACAACAGAACCCGAAGACAATACAATGCTGAATAAAGTCAGAGTTTTTGTTATTTTTGGACCAAAATGTATTTTCGATGCTTCAACACACTCTAACTAACCCACTGATGTCACATGGACTACTTTGATGATGTCTTTATCTCCTTTCTGGACAAGGACAGTATACCGTACACACATTTACAATGGAGGGACAGAAAGCTCTCGGACTAAATCTAAAATATCTTAAACTGTGTCCTGAAGATGAACGGAGGTCTGACGGGCTTGGAGCGACATGAGGGAGAGTCATTAATGACATCATTTTCATTTTTGGGTGAACTAACCCTTTGAGGGACCATTTCACAGTTAAAGCCTTACTTTCCATTTAGACGGAAGTGTCCGATTCCTTGAGAGAAAGAACGCATTATCTAGATGTTTTGAGAGGACTCTCCTGTTTATAGTTAGAGCCTGGCCAAATCCAACCTTGGGGAAGCTGTGTGTCGGTGTGTGTGTTAGTCTTTTTGGTTACAGGTTAAGCAACAACTGCAATATTGGAGATTGACTGAGTTGTTGTGCTGGACATGCTGGCGCCCAGCAACCCAAATCTGCGACCTGGAAGGTCACGACGTGCCAAACTTCAGGGTCTGAGTGTCAGCTGCATAAGCAATGGAGATATGCTTCAGTCTATCTGTATATGTGTGGAAAATTACTATGTCTATCTATGTCTTAGCCAATCAGAATCTTTCAACCTGAAGCAATGACGTATCTTAGACCTTGGTGAAGGGTATAACTGCGGTGATCTTTGTAACTGCACGGCGGCCTACGAACTCCTGTGTGAGTCTTGAAGCTGACTTCTGCTGATGAAACCGCAAGCTATCTTCAATAAAAGCTTTCTTTAATTTATTATAATTCTGACTCTTGTCTTAATCATTTCTGGCTCTGGGTCTTTGGCTGTAAATCCCCTTACAATATGCATAGATATAAGTTCACATTATATAAGGAAGTCCCATACTCTATGCTCAGAACAGCATAATGTCATACTTCTATTAATACAGCACGTATCCATTAGGGCTGTCAATCTTCCTCTATAATACTATTCGAATTCCATTCCTTATTTTATTTAATATTCAAATAATATTCGAATATTAAATGCTCAAATTCATCCTATTATTAATATTTACGACACTACACAGGCTTATGGATCACCAATGCCACTATAGCATGTGGTTGTTGTTACACGTTCTGTCCACTAGAGGGACATCTAACGTTACAATAAACATTTACAAAACAGGTGATCGCTTTCTTATTAACAATAAAACAGCGGAACAAAATTAATGACTTTAATTTGTCAACTTTAATAGACATTTTTTCTATATAAAAAAAACAAAAAACAATGGCTGCTGAGACTGCATCAATAACTGCACAGCTTCTATTGAACACAACCGATCTTCACAAATTGAAAAAAAAAAATGAAGATGCCTAAATCAAAGTGCGTTACATTTAACATTACAAAAAACATTGGCAGGATTTAATCCCTAAGGTTGTTGGCCAAAAACACAAGACGCACAGCTTCTATTGAACACAACCGATCTTCACAAATTGAAAAAAAAAAATGAAGATGCCTAAATCAAAGTGCGTTACATTTAACATTACAAAAAACATTGGCAGGATTTAATCCCTAAGGTTGTTGGCCAAAAACACAAGACGATCCACGTTTTCTGAATCCAGTGCAGAGCGTTTTTTATTTACTATAATCCCAGCCGTAGAGAAAACCCTTTCTGCTCTAACTGAGGTGCCCGGGATGCTCAAGTAGCGCCGTGCCAGCTGGGCAAGGTGGGGGTACTTAGACTGTGACGTCATCCACCATGATAATGGGTTGCAATCGGAGGGTAGTGGGGTCTCACTTTCGTAGATCAACATTTCTTGCTCTAGGACGGCTCCTATATCTAAGGGACCATCTGACGCGTCTGCTCCTTGGCGGTAAACATCACCAAAAAGGTCCCCCATAGCACTGAGAGCGGTTTTCTCCTGGCGCGTTATCCCCGTAGCCATGGCTGCTCGCTCCGCAAACACTGGCAGCTGACTTATCTCTCCTTTTATTTTCTCGCGCACCTCCTGCCGTTGGTCTCGTTTTAAATGAATTAGCCAAAGGAAACGCAGATCAAGGTAGCTAGCCGTATTAAGCAGCTTGAAGGCATCTTTGTCTTGACTGTATTGATTGTAGAGGTCCGTCTTTATCTTCGTTTTCATTTCTTTGAGAGCTGCCGGATCACCCGTGGATGGCTGAAGATGTGACAAAAGTACATACTTTCAGGGGTAGAACAGCTGATGCTGTTGGAAATCGGTCGGTGGATAATGCCTCAGTGGCCACTTTGAATGGCTTAAGCACTGCTCTCACCTACGAAAATACACACAAACATAATTGGCATAATTTTTATGGCTAGCAGCTTAACGTAACACAGATATGCCCTCTTCTGTAGCCTATTATTAATGAAAAACTAGCCTATTAATTGGTCAATCAATATCACCTGGTTATTACATGTAATGCATACATATAGTATATTTATTGTCCATAATTTGTGTCACTCACCTGCTCCATAAGGGTCCACTCGCTGGTAGTCAACTCGAGATGACCAAGTTTCTTCTCCATGATGACCGCTGCTACCGGAGCTTGTTGCTCGGCTGCCCGACACACCATGTCGTAAGTGCTGTTCCATCGCGTGGCACAGTCGTTTATTAGCTTCGCATGTTTAAGACCAAGCAGCTCCTGCTTGCATTCTAAAAGGTAGCTGTCGGTAGTTGATTTGTTAAAATGCAGTGGTGTGGCCTTCAGTCTGCTCACTGGAGTTTCTATAGCTCGCACTGCCAGCCCTTTCCTTACAGCCAGGTTAATGGTGTGTGCCATGCACGGGACATTGACGACCTGCAGGTGCCTCTCGACAGCGTTGATATAATTAGCCGCGTTGTCAGTGGTGATGGAAAGCACTGACTCACGACTAACGTTGTACTCTCCGAGTATGTTTGAGATGCACTCAGCAACGTTCTCGGCGGTGTGGCTTTTCTGCGCTTCAGCCGTTTTGAGAATGACATCTTTTAATTCCCAATCATCATTTATAAAATGTGCGGTGACCGTCACATATGCCTCTGTGGCAAGTGATGTCCAGCCATCTGTGGTCAGGGCGATCTTTTTTCCACTGATCATTTGTCTGACGTTGTCTGATGTTGTCTCATAGAGTTTCACAACTCTGTCAGTGATTGTTGCGCGGCTAGGAACCGTGTACCTTGGCTCAAGCTCACGAATAAAATCTTTAAATCCAGATCCCTGTGTGATGTTGATCGGTCTCATATCTTTACAGATAAACCGTGTCAGTTTGTCTGTTATCGCCTTCTGGCGGACAGCTGGTAAGCCCCGTGATGAGGAGGCAGAAAAGAAGTAATTCTCGCTTGTTTTAGCGGCGGTTCCTCGGACAGATCGCCCAGCTTGTCAGGGTGTAACGTTGTCAGGTGTGCCCTCAGGTTGCTAGTTGAGGAGTGATATTTCATTCGGATTTTGCATATTCTGCAGATTACCACTTCTTTATTCATAATTTTACCATTTATGCTTTGAAATCCGAACAGTTTCCACACATCGCTTCTCAAATTGTCAGGAGTGGTGATCTCCGTTTCTGTGGATACATTGCTCTCCGCCATTTTTGACTATTGTTATGATAGAGCGTAGATAACGTGCACAATTGTGTTACGATTCTAAAACTTTATTGTTCATCAGACGAAACAAAAGCATTTCATTTTCACATGCGTGTAAGCCTATGCCATGAGAAAGGCGAGATTGTATATATAATTTTTTTTTAAATATACATAAAAAATACAATATTCGAATAGTAACTTCAGCATTCGAATAGTATGATTTTTTAAATATTCGAATTATATTCGAATTTCGGAATTCGTTCCAACAGCCCTAGTATCCATGCGCTTTTATTATAATAATACACTAAAAGGAGAGCAAATTAAGCTTAATTTCCCAGTGTCTATGACTGGAAACGCCTCAGAGCTCCATGTTTTCCAGGGTGTGTGGTAAAGATGCAGATTGATCACTCTGACGGACAGCTTATGGACTGCATTGGTCTCGCAGACAGGACAAATGTTGTTCACTAACACCATTCAGCTCGTTTAAAGCATCCTTAGTGGTTACAGATCGTTGACTTGTAGAGTACAAATACCTGAGCTCAATGATCACATGCATCTGCTCTTATTTGAATCCAAGTTACAGACAAATACATCATATATCACAAAACCTTATGATGCATTAGTATTAGCTTTTATTTTCATAGACCAGTAGTGATGAGAAACAGATAGAAAGGCATAAATGCATATGTTTAACAGCTGAAATTCTTCATCTTCTCTGTCTCTAAAGATGATCTTCTCTTCAGTTGAGTTCAGAGATTGATAGAGGAGAGTGTTGAAGGGGTTCTTCATCTTCTCCTCCTAGTTGAGCTCACAGATGGTGATGGAGGAGCCGACTCCAGACCAGAAGCGGAAGCTGGCGAAAAGCGGCCCGTGGAAGTGTGTGTGAACGCAGCAGATCTCCTGGGCCTGAGTGTGTGAGACGCGGTAGAAAGCCAGCACTCCGGCCTGCTGGTCCACATACACTCCCACACGCCTGGCTTTAGGACCTGCCAGAGCCGTCTCTCTCCCAGCGTGCCACAGGGAGAAGGCCTTGCCGGACCAGTACAGGCTCCAGGAGTGTGTGTTGTGGCCCAGTCTGGCACTGTCATCCGCTGAGGAGCGATCCATGTCTTTATATGCCACGCCGACCGTCACCTGCACACAGCAATGATCCGCGTCATCAACATCAATCTGCCTCACACACATACAGGTGGAAGGAGGAAGAGAAATCTCACGACTAGACGAGAAGATTTGTTTATTGTCTGTTTGATAGGATTCTCTTTATCTACTTAGATGAAGATCTGATTATAATGTAGGTCCAATTTAGGGTTCACAAACATTTTTAGTGCCTTCTTTTACGAACACTAATAAAAAATAAATAAAAAATTGGAAAACAAAAATTCTCAAATTCTAATGCCCCTCTGACAATGAGAAACTTGTTTGTGTATTTGTCACATCTAGGCTTGACTACTGCAATAGTGTTTTGGCTGGGTTACCAAAGAGCTCTATTGAACACTTGCAAAGATGAGAAATCATATGACTCCAACACTATGTTCGCTTCATGACGCTGTCTGTCATTCAGAATTAAATTCAAGATCTTCTTTTTTTTCTTTTCTTTTTTTTTTAAACCTGCCCCAATATACCTTTCTAATTTGTTGAATAGATATACTCCAGCAAGATCACTCCGAACATCAAATAGTAATTTGTTGGATGTGCCAAAACCACAGCAAAAAATTTGTGGAGTCAACCTTTAGTCATTTTGGTCCCGAGCTCTGGAACTTTCTTCCGGACAACCTGTAGGTCGACTACACTTGGTTACACTTGGTCACATAAATGTGAACATGTGTGATTGGTCTACTCTGCTCTGATTGGTCAGATGGCCCAGTCTGTTGTGATTGGTCTACTCTGCTCTGATTGGTCGGGTGGCCCAGTCTGCTGTGATTGGTCTACTCTGCTCTGATTGGTCAGATGGCCCAGTCTGCTGTGATTGGTCTGCTCTGCTCTGATTGGTCAGATGGCCCAGTCTGCTGTGATTGGTCTACTCTGCTCTGATTGGTCAGATGGCCCAGTCTGTTGTGATTGGTCTACTCTGCTCTGATTGGTCAGATGGCCCAGTCTGTTGTGATTGGTCTACTCTGCTCTGATTGGTCGGGTGGCCCAGTCTGCTGTGATTGGTCTACTCTGCTCTGATTGGTCAGATGGCCCAGTCTGCTGTGATTGGTCTGCTCTGCTCTGATTGGTCAGATGGCCCAGTCTGCTGTGATTGGTCTACTCTGCTCTGATTGGTCAGATGGCCCAGTCTGTTGTGATTGGTCTACTCTGCTCTGATTGGTCAGATGGCCCAGTCTGCTGTGATTGGTCTACTCTGCTCTGATTGGTCAGATGGCCCAGTCTGCTGTGATTGGTCTACTCTGCTCTGATTGGTCAGATGGCCCAGTCTGTTGTGATTGGTCTACTCTGCTCTGATTGGTCAGATGGCCAAGTCTGTTGTGATTGGTCTACTCTGCTCTGATTGGTCAGATGGCCCAGTCTGCTGTGATTGGTCTACTCTGCTCTGATTGGTCAGATGGCCCAGTCTGTTGTGATTGGTCTACTCTGCTCTGATTGGTCAGATGGCCCAGTCTGCTGTGATTGGTCTACTCTGCTCTGATTGGTCAGATGGCCCAGTCTGTTGTGATTGGTCTACTCTGCTCTGATTGGTCAGATGGCCCAGTCTGCTGTGATTGGTCTGCTCTGCTCTGATTGGTCAGATGGCCCAGTCTGTTGTGATTGGTCTGCTCTGCTCTGATTGGTCAGATGGCCCAGTCTGTTGTGATTGGTCTGCTCTGCTCTGATTGGTCAGATGGCCCAGTCTGCTGTGATTGGTCTACTCTGCTCTGATTGGTCAGATGGCCCAGTCTGTTGTGATTGGTCTACTCTGCTCTGATTGGTCAGATGGCCCAGTCTGTTGTGATTGGTCTACTCTGCTCTGATTGGTCAGATGGCCCAGTCTGCTGTGATTGGTCTACTCTGCTCTGATTGGTCAGATGGCCCAGTCTGTTGTGATTGGTCTACTCTGCTCTGATTGGTCAGATGGCCCAGTCTGTTGTGATTGGTCTACTCTGCTCTGATTGGTCAGATGGCTCAGTCTGTTGTGATTGGTCTACTCTGCTCTGATTGGTCAGATGGCTCAGTCTGTTGTGATTGGTCTGCTCTGCTCTGATTGGTCAGATGGTCCACTCTGCTCTGATTGGTCAGGTGGCCCAGTCTGTTGTGATTGGTCTGCTCTGCTCTGATTGGTCAGATGGCCCAGTCTGTTGTGATTGGTCTACTCTGCTCTGATTGGTCAGATGGCCCAGTCTGTTGTGATTGGTCTACTCTGCTCTGATTGGTCAGATGGCCCAGTCTGCTGTGATTGGTCTGCTCTGCTCTGATTGGTCAGATGGCCCAGTCTGCTGTGATTGGTCTACTCTGCTCTGATTGGTCAGATGGCTCAGTCTGTTGTGATTGGTCTATTCTGCTCTGATTGGTCAGATGGCCCAGTCTGTTGTGATTGGTCTACTCTGCTCTGATTGGTCAGATGGCCCAGTCTGTTGTGATTGGTCTACTCTGCTCTGATTGGTCAGATGGCCCAGTCTGCTGTGATTGGTCTGCTCTGCTCTGATTGGTCAGATGGTCCACTCTGGTCTGATTGGTCAGGTGGCCCAGTCTGTTGTGATTGGTCTGCTCTGCTCTGATTGGTCAGATGGCCCAGTCTGTTGTGATTGGTCTACTCTGCTCTGATTGGTCAGATGGCCCTGTCTGTTGTGATTGGTCTACTCTGCTCTGATTGGTCAGATGGCCCAGTCTGCTGTGATTGGTCTGCTCTGCTCTGATTGGTCAGATGGCCCAGTCTGTTGTGATTGGTCTACTCTGCTCTGATTGGTCAGATGGCCCAGTCTGCTGTGATTGGTCTGCTCTGCTCTGATTGGTCGGGTGGCCCAGTCTGCTGTGATTGGTCTACTCTGCTCTGATTGGTCAGATGGCCCAGTCTGTTGTGATTGGTCTACTCTGCTCTGATTGGTCAGATGGCCCAGTCTGCTGTGATTGGTCTACTCTGCTCTGATTGGTCAGATGGCCCAGTCTGTTTTGATTGGTCTACTCTGCTCTGATTGGTCAGATGGCCCAGTCTGTTGTGATTGGTCTACTCTGCTCTGATTGGTCAGATGGCCCAGTCTGCTGTGATTGGTCTGCTTTGCTCTGATTGGTCCGGTGGCCCAGTCTGCTGTGATTGGTCTACTCTGCTCTGATTGGTCAGATGGCCCAGTCTGCTGTGATTGGTCTGCTCTGCTCTGATTGGTCAGATGGCCCAGTCTGCTGTGATTGGTCTACTCTGCTCTGATTGGTCAGATGGCCCAGTCTGTTGTGATTGGTCTACTCTGCTCTGATTGGTCAGATGGCCCAGTCTGCTGTGATTGGTCTACTCTGCTCTGATTGGTCAGATGGCCCAGTCTGTGGTGATTGGTCTGCTCTGCTCTGATTGGTCAGATGGCCCAGTCTGCTGTGATTGGTCTGCTCTGCTCTGATTGGTCGGGTGGCCCAGTCTGCTGTGATTGGTCTACTCTGCTCTGATTGGTCAGATGGCCCAGTCTGCTGTGATTGGTCTACTCTGCTCTGATTGGTCGGGTGGCCCAGTCTGCTGTGATTGGTCTACTCTGCTCTGATTGGTCAGATGGCTCGCTCAGTCTGTTGTGATTGGTCTGCTCTGCTCTGATTGGTCAGATGGTCCACTCTGCTCTGTTTGGTCAGGTGGCCCAGTCTGTTGTGATTGGTCTGCTCTGCTCTGATTGGTCAGATGGCCCAGTCTGTTGTGATTGGTCTACTCTGCTCTGATTGGTCAGATGGCCCTGTCCGTTGTGATTGGTCTACTCTGCTCTGATTGGTCAGATGGCCCAGTCTGCTGTGATTGGTCTGCTCTGCTCTGATTGGTCAGATGGCCCAGTCTGTTGTGATTGGTCTACTCTGCTCTGATTGGTCAGATGGCCCAGTCTGTTGTGATTGGTCTACTCTGCTCTGATTGGTCAGATGGCCCAGTCTGCTGTGATTGGTCTGCTCTGCTCTGATTGGTCGGGTGGCCCAGTCTGCTGTGATTGGTCTACTCTGCTCTGATTGGTCAGATGGCCCAGTCTGTTGTGATTGGTCTACTCTGCTCTGATTGGTCAGATGGCCCAGTCTGCTGTGATTGGTCTACTCTGCTCTGATTGGTCAGATGGCCCAGTCTGTTGTGATTGGTCTACTCTGCTCTGATTGGTCAGATGGCCCAGTCTGTTGTGATTGGTCTACTCTGCTCTGATTGGTCAGATGGCCCAGTCTGCTGTGATTGGTCTGCTCTGCTCTGATTGGTCGGGTGGCCCAGTCTGCTGTGATTGGTCTACTCTGCTCTGATTGGTCAGATGGCCCAGTCTGCTGTGATTGGTCTGCTCTGCTCTGATTGGTCAGATGGCCCAGTCTGCTGTGATTGGTCTACTCTGCTCTGATTGGTCAGATGGCCCAGTCTGTTGTGATTGGTCTACTCTGCTCTGATTGGTCAGATGGCCCAGTCTGCTGTGATTGGTCTACTCTGCTCTGATTGGTCAGATGGCCCAGTCTGTGGTGATTGGTCTGCTCTGCTCTGATTGGTCAGATGGCCCAGTCTGTGGTGATTGGTCTACTCTGCTCTGATTGGTCAGATGGCCCAGTCTGTTGTGATTGGTCTACTCTGCTCTGATTGGTCAGAAGGCCCAGTCTGCTGTGATTGGTCTGCTCTGCTCTGATTGGTCGGGTGGCCCAGTCTGCTGTGATTGGTCTACTCTGCTCTGATTGGTCAGATGGCCCAGTCTGCTGTGATTGGTCTACTCTGCTCTGATTGGTCGGGTGGCCCAGTCTGCTGTGATTGGTCTACTCTGCTCTGATTGGTCAGATGGCCCAGTCTGCTGTGATTGGTCTACTCTGCTCTGATTGGTCGGGTGGCCCAGTCTGCTGTGATTGGTCTACTCTGCTCTGATTGGTCAGATGGCTCGCTCAGTCTGTTGTGATTGGTCTACTCTGCTCTGATTGGTCAGACGGCCCAGTCTGTGGTGATTGGTCTACTCTGCTCTGATTGGTCAGATGGCCCAGTCTGTTGTGATTGGTCTACTCTGCTCTGATTGGTCAGATGG